AAAAAAAAAAAAAAAAAAAAAAAAAAATGGATGCAGCACTCTGCAGCTGAAGGAGAGCTGATTCCCGAGGTTAACCAGCCGGGTAGTAGTACAATCGGGATTCAACCCAGGGCTCCTGATTCTGAGTGTGGTGCTCTTTTCAATCGGCTGAGCCTTGCCCTTGCCATCAGCAGTATCTCTGAATGAGCATCAGAAGAGTGTGGTTCAAGGCCACAGGACCATATGTCGTCCTGCTCCTGGATGCCCAGGTTGTTGGAGAATGATGGTGCACATTGTCTGGTTTGTGTTTCTGTCCCGTACAGCAGGAGAGCATGCCGTTTGCTGTGGTGGGAAGTGACAAGGAGTACCAAGTGAATGGCAAGCGGGTCCTTGGCCGAAAAACTCCATGGGGGATCATCGAAGGTAATTCATTGCATCTTCTTGAAGAACTCGTTGCTGATCAGTTATCCAGTCACCATTTATTAAGCATCTATAGATCAAGGCACTGTCTCAGAACATATGAAATGCATGCCAGCCAGATTCTGCCCTTAAGGAGCTTACAGTCTCATTGAGAAGATGCTTACAGGCAGGAATAACGAGAGACCAATGTAGCACCTGACTGGGTGCACTGACTTGGTGCATCAAAAGAGTTCGGAACATGGAGAGTTTAGTAAGACCTGGAAAACCTGGAGAAAGTTTTCATAGGAAGGAAGATGTGATCTGACAAACTGCTGGAGGGTTGTTCAGGTGTTGCCATTTCCATTTTATTATGAATGGATGTGACCTTGGGCGGGTGTTGATGGTTCTGAAAGTGGTCAAGGAATCACTTTAATGATTTCGTTCAATATGATAACCCTATGAAGGAAGGAGGGCACATGCTCCTGTTCTCAGAATATAAGGCACCAAGCACCAGAGCTCAGGTTAAAAGCCTTGCCCAAAGTCACATAACTTGTTAGTGGCGAAACTTGATTTCAGACTCAGATTTTTTTTTTTTTTGAGACGGAGTCTCACTCTGTCACCCAGGCTGGTGTGCAGTGGCACAATCTCGGTTCACTGCAACCGCTGCCTCCCGGGTTCAAGTGATTCTCCCTGCCTCAGCCTCCTGAGTAGCTGGGACCACAGGCGCACACTATGCTCAGCTAATAAATATTTTTGTAGAGACAGAGTTTTGACATGTTGGTCAGGCTAGTCTGAACTCCTGACCTCAGGTGATCTGCCTGCCTCAGCCTCCCAAAGTGCTGGGATTACAGGCATGAGCCACTGCACCTGGCAATTTTATTTTATTTTATTTTATTTATTTATTTTTTTTGAGACGGAGTTTCGCTCTTGTTACCCAGGCTGGAGTGCAATGGCGCGATCTCGGCTCACCGCAACCTCTGCCTCCTGGGTTC